CCCCCCCGTAAGATGAATCTCGTCCTCAAGATTCGGAAGACGTCGACTATAAGATAGAAATACTCCGTCTTTGGATTCTTCTTTACTTCCTCGTGTAGTTCCATCGTATAGTTACATCTTCTTGATAAGGATCCCACTTTACTTTGCATATCTGTTAATCTTACTCCATGTAACTTGCCAAACTGATTCCATGATTCTGACAAATACTCCAGAACATGCCTAGGTAACTTCAATCACTAGGCCATTTTCTTCCTTTTTAGTCCATACTTATTAGACCTCTTTCTTCATATGTTCACCTTCTAACAGAGCCTGACGAATCTCTTGGTCAGAAGGAGATTCTACTACCAATCTTCAAAACATTAATGATTCTAGTTAAGTTGCTCAAACCTTGAATACAGTTCGTAATCATCAGTGTCACCCGAACCTTCTTAGCACAATTCTCCGTTGCTAAGGGCATCGGCCATGACTCTGCTTCTCAAAGTGATAGCACTTTTTCAAGTCGTAAAACCTTGATTGCTTCAATCCAACAATGATGTCACAAGCTCACAACCATCTTAGTGAAGATGTCCATTAGATTCTTGTGATCCACCTAAATGTCACTTGTTATGCCGAAGTAGATAGTACCTCATGCTCCACAATACATAACTCTAGACCATACGTCAGATGTTCCATCTCATGTTTTCTTGCTTAAACCTCTAAACAAATCTGATAATTGAAAACTCTAAGTTTCTCTCTCACATCCTTGAGTACCACCTCTCTCATCAGATTACTGATTCTTCCAAGTGAGAGCTAGAGAGCATGACTAAACTTCATATGGCACCTTGAGCATTCGAACCCTTCTTAGTTGGATAGCTTGCATAGGTGTGCTCATCTATCTTATTGATCTCCTCCAAAGGTTTCGATCCTAGAACCTGTGGGTTATGGGCCCACCATGCTTCCGCTGCGCAAACTAGAACGTATGATACTTCATCTTACAAATTCTTCAACTTGGCTACCCCCTTAAGAAAAATTAAACTAGGGAACACCAAAGTATAGCTTGCATCTCCTTCTAGATGAGCTAATTAGTATCAAGACATTCTGTCATCCCAATGATACTCTTGTATATGGGCAAGAACAAGAAATCTGAAATTCCTCGCGAGCAGAAAAACAATAGCATAGTAAAATAGTTGTAACTCTCATTCTATTAATCCAATAGAGCTACAGTTTATATTGTTGGAAAGCTTATCAAATTCTCCACAACTTCCTTATAGAACACTTTGCCAAATTCTGCAGTTCATGTAGTCGAAAGTAGTGCACAACAGAAACTATTCTAGGCTTTAGACAACATCGATGTATCGTCTTGTGATTTTCATAACTCCATAACCAACATAGCTATCAAAGTGATTCTTATGGTTAGAGAAAGATATTGAAGTCTAATATCGTCCAGAATTTTTTCATGATTTTTGGTACTTCAAAGACAGAGATATAAACTAATAAAGATAGGTTGCTCCGAAGGCACGATAGAGAAAACAGGAGAGAACCAAAACCTGACTATTTATTTCATTAATCCTTATACCTTAGGCCTATAAACTAAATGAAATTGTGGGAACACCCAACAAGGTCATTGCAATCATTACAAAGATTTAAAATAAGCAAAAGCATAATGATAATTCAACAAAGCACTAACGGTGCACAATTCAATCATTGACTCAACTTGCGATACTATCGTCCTCATTGTACTAAGGGTAACAATCCTAGGACTCATCTTTAGATTATGCAAGAAGGTGATGAGGGACAGCACTAAAAGCATATCAAATTAAGGAGTGAAGATGAGAACAAAGACATCAAAATAAGTACCAAGGTAGAGATGAATAATAAGGGTAGAGATATAGTAGAGAAGAAAATATCAAGGTTTATAGAGCAAGGGTTTTTATAGCAACTTTTAAACCTTAAAACAACCAGTTTCTAATAGGCTTGTGTCCTACAGTCAGCATTGCTCTGATAGCACTTTGTAGCTCCCAGTTTTAAGAACAAAACTAGATACACACCATATGTGAGTCCAGGAAGTCAAATCTCACATATAGCTACAAATAAGGGTAATATCAATAGATAATGCTCAATATATAACGTACTTAATATAAATAATATAACCTTAGATAGCAAACAGCGGAAAGACAACTCTGATCTTCGGATGAAGACTCCAATTCTATAGGGACAACTTACTGGTTGATCATAAGCCCAACTTCTTCAAACTCTAGCAATCGGGTACCCATCCGGGATTTTTCCAAAGATTTGAAAAGTAAAGCAAGTGTAAGTACATGTCATACTCAATAAATATATCATGGGGTTCATGAGGCTCAAAAGGCTGTCACTAGTTTAACTGCGATTAGCTTTTAATAAGTCATCTTTTAGCAATTGTGTGGCAACTAGTTTTTTCACAAGCCCATATAAACACATGATCAGGTAAACATGAATAATGAATAGCATAAACAGTAATCATTAGTGAGCATCTTTATCATCAGTATCATCAGTGTTCATCATCTATTCCGTAAGGGTCCAAGGCCGCTCGTGACCGTGAGCACGGCTGATATACCAGTTTTACACTCTGCAGAGGTTGTACACTTTCACTGTGAGTCATGATTTACCCTTTTGCCTGAGGTGATCAACCTCTTGACCCACTACCAAGGAAGATCGGCAGGGTTCACTATGAAGCCTTTCAAAGGTTTGTCTATCAAGTTAGGGCCGCTAGGTTTCTGTGCCCTACAAATGTAGGGCTCCCGTTCCGACAGGCACAATGACATGCAGCCTATACATTGACGGACAGAGGCTGCACTATATCCAACCCGAAACACACCCCTCTTGTGCCATTAAGGTAACCTCTAACAAGCTAGAAAAGGTCCTTATACTGAGCTAAAGCCAGAGCCATGTAGCCCTCACAGCTGTACTGTAAATTCCGGATGTTCGCTTACAGATAAGTCCTTAGGGAGAGGAATCTAAAGCATTTAGAAAGTAGCTAAAGACTCCAGCCCCCTGTTTCCAAGTTGCTAAAAAATCATATGTTAATGTTTATTGCATATACCATTAGTCATGTTACAAGATCATGGTTTAATTGAGCACTAGCAAAACTACCCAATGCATATCCCATAGGAGACATGGTATAAGTTCAATTCTAGGGAATCTCTATCAAGGTGACACATGCAAACATGAATTAAATGTATGAAAGTTGATACGAAACAAGGATGGTCCTATGCTATACTTGCCTTACAACTATGATCTTCTTCTAGTCTAAATCTTCAAAGATCTGCTTCTTAATTCACCACGTATAGCTCACCGACTAGACATGATCATAAAGCACCACACAAGCATCCATGCAATCATACATGAAGCAAACAATAGATCTAAATTAGAGCAGTACATCAAACATAAAATCAAGATGAAAAGTTTGTAAAACGACTCTACGTCTCGCTACGAACACATAGACGCGAAAAAGCACTCTAATCGGAGCTATAACGAAGAAGTTATGAATTAAACAAGATTTCTTTTAATAAAATAATAGATTAAATCTAACCTCGAATTTTTAAAAGTTGAAAATATGTTTAACAGTAGTATAAACATGTAGATTACGCAATTACGAATCTAACACAACTTGAACGGGTCAAATCGGAGTTAAAACGGAGAAGATATGGCCTAATGAAGATAGTGGCAATTTTGTAAATAGTTGGAACTTGATTTTTGAATTTAAAAATAAATAAAATCTGATTTTTAAATCTGGCCGAGGACTGCGGGCACTATTTAAAGAAAAGATAGGGTCCTTTTGGAAGAAACCAGGGACGTCGGGTTCAAATCTTAAAAACTTCAGTGTCTCATTTGTGAAAGAAGCTGATGAAGGGGTATCGGGCTCTGTCGGCCGTTTGGATCTGACTTGGACGATTGAGATAGAAGAGAGGGAGATGGGGTCATCGGAGCGACGCTCTCATGGCGGCGCCATTTACGACAGCGGCTTGATCTCGTCGGAGTTTGGCATTTGACCGATTCTGAGTATCATCGCCCGAAGCAAGGATACGGGAATATAGCGGAGGTGATGGTGAACTCGATCTAGGGCTTGAGGATGCCCAAGACGGCTCAGAGGCGGCAAGGGGCTAGATTTGCGGCTCGAGGTCAATGGCGATGCTATGGCGAGCTCGTGCAGGCGCAAAGGAGTGAGAGGGGAAGCATACAGGATATCGGCGGCTTTCTTACCTTCACGCGTAGCTCGAGAATACGGTCACGGCGGCAGAAGAGCAGCGGCGATGGAGATCAATGCGGTGGCGGCGCTTCTAGGGTTTCGGTGGCGCAGTGATGAAAAGCGAGGGCGGCAGCTTGAGACGCTAGGGTTGAGGGAGGGTGGCGCGAGCTCGGGCTACTATTTAAGAGAGCAGGTGGCTTGGGAGGCACGGCAAGGCGGCGAGGCGTGGATGGAGCGGACTCCTACGGCGGCGGTCGTGACCGACGCGGACTCGAGCGGGGAAGAAGGAGAGGATGTGGCTGACACGCGGGCCCCACTTGTCGGCGACTGCGCGGGAGGGAAGGCGGGGGACACGGCCTGCGCGACGCGGCTCAACTGGGCCGAGAGGGAGCTGGGCCTGCAGGAAGCGGGGAACGGCGCGGAAGGGAATGGGCCGCCTGCTGCGGAGAAAGACTGGGCCGCGGGCCAAAAACCGCGGAAGGAGAGGAAAAATAAAGAATTCATTTTCTATTTTCTCAAACACAATTTCAAATCCAATTTAAATTCAAATTTAAATCATTTTGCAAATTTTGATCGAACCCAAGCATCAAAGAATAAATATGCACCCAGAAAAACCAAGAACATCTACTACAACAGATTTCAGGCGTGTGAACACAGATATGTCAACAATATCAGGTGAGGGCCACACCACGAAGATTTGCCGATTGTAACATACCTAGGAATATCCTAAGAATACCTGCCAAATATACAAGTGCCGAACCTTATTTGCCATGTTCAAACAACCTTTATCATACCCTCATACAGAAAGCACATGGCTGGACAGAGATTTTGCAAGATCCCAAGTCACATCATGCAACCTAAACCGTTGATGTGACAAAAGCAAATGATCAGAAGAAGCCATGCTCATCTTTTTATGAAAAGACGATGATCTTACATGAGAATCAACAAAGTCTTCGCATGTGCTGAGAAGCTGATCAAAAGATATTTTAACTGATGATCTTGTGAGTGGATTTTTCAAATACCGGTGACCATTACTGTGGTACAAATCTGTTTCAATCAGTGATCTTTCATTCAACTCATCAAAGTATTCACCAGCAACTTTCTCTGGTATTTCGAATCTTTTCAGGTGAATGCAACCATGAGCAACCCACAAGTGAATCATGTCATCCTTGGTAAATGAATGGCCTTTGAGATACAAAGTGCACAGTAAAAAACAAGGTTTAAGTTCTGCTGGCAATCTATAAAAGCTCAATCTTAGAGCAGAGAAGATCTCTTCATGATCATCTAAACTTTCCCAAAACTCACTTTCCAATGTTTCCATCCAAGTCTGCACATCCATCTTGAGCCGTAGCAGGCAACCTATCGACTTAACTGCCAATGGTAAGCCACCACACTTTTGCATAATTTTCCTTCCAACCTGAACCAAAGTGGATCCTTCATCAAAGATTTTGTTGCCAAAAACATAATGTTGGAACAACAACCAGCAATGATCTTCAGGCAATATGCCAAGAACAAGGTGTTCGACTGATTGAACAAGGCATGCTACAACTTTGCTCCTAGTAGTCACCAGGATTGTAACACTTTGAGCATCCTTGAGTGGATGCAGCAATTCGAACCAGAGATTTTTCTGTTCATTCCATAGATCATCTAGCACCAGGAACACATCCTTTGCATTTACCTCTTCCTTCAGAACATCGTGAACACAGCTTAATTCACTGAACTCACATTGTTTCCTGGACAAGGACTCAGTGACCACATTCGTTAGCTTGAGCAAATCAAATGTTTGGGATACATGAACCCAACCATGAAGATCAAATCGATCTTGGACTCGGTCATCGTTATAGACCATCTGTGCCACCGTAGTCTTGCCAATGCCGCCCATACCAACAATTGGTAGAACTTGAGTTCCGCTGCCCTGACTGAAAGATAACACTGACTCTATGGTGCGCTCTTTCTCCTTGATCCTTCCAAACACAAGGGATTCATCCAGAAGGTGGCTAGTCAGTCTACGCCAAGAGTCCCTACCAGAAATAATGTCGCCAATCTCTGTTCCAAGATGTAGGGCGGCCCTATCTCTAGATATCTCCTCGAACCTGCTTGTAATCTCCCTAATTCTCTGCGAATCGATTGATGATTATTTGCCAGCAAGCAGTGTCATTGTGGAGAAATGCAGCAGGAATATGGGTTACCTCACTGACGCCACCATGCTCATCCTCTGTCCTGAGCTGCGGGGCTGCTCCATCTGTAGAGATTTCCTTGAACCGCTGTGCGATCTCCCCGATGTGCTACAAATCCAATTATGGTTATTCACCAGCACGCAACCAATTTCGGAGGAAATGCAGCAAAAACTTTATCACCTCACTGGTGCCACCGTCCTCCTCCTCTGGCCTGAGCTGCACGGCGGCACGATCAGCAGATATCTCGAACCGGCGTGTGATCTTCCTGACTGCCTGCAAATTAACTGATGCTTGCTTACTGGCAACCAAATAACTTGAATAGCTGAAGTTCCTTGAAAAGGGCAAAAAAGCAGCGAGAGGATGTGTTACCTCACAGATAGTACCGTCCTCGCCGTCGTGCTTCCGCTTGACTGTTTTAGACGAGGCCGCCGCCGCCGCCGCGGCTTCATGGCGTTCCCGGACTTGGCGCCGGAGCAGCTAGTAGCGATGGTCGTCGAGGACGTCCTCCGCGTCACGGGCCAAGTCCGTGAGCTCCTCGATCCGCAGCTTGACGGAGCTGTCCCGGACCTCTCGCTCCCCGGCGTCGTCAAGCGTGGCCTGGATCCGCCTCAGCAGCCGCTCCACATCAGCGGAAACTGTGGACCGCCCGCTTGGAGGTGGGCAGGAACCTGAAGGCCGGCTCCGGAGAAGGTCGAGCAGTTTGCTCGTGGAAGAGAGGAGGGGCCACAGTAGCCCACCCGCCATAGATCTAAGCAAGGAATGCCTCCTCCGTATCTCCACTCTCCAGTCTCCACTCCTCCTCACCCTGGGCATTCGGTTAACCGAAACCGTTCGGTTCGGTTCCTCGGTTCTTTATAAAATTCGGTTAGCATAAAACTAAAACCGATTGGTTAGCTAGAAAATTTGGAACCGAGAAAATTCGGTCTCGGTTAGTTCGGTTCGGTTTCGGTTAGAACCGAACTAACCGAGCCATACATTACATCAGCGAAACAGAAGAGAAGAAAAGGAGAAAAATGAAAACCGAGCCATACATTACATCAGCCATACAATTCGGTTCTTTTGCTATTGGGCAAATATGTACAGATTCGGTTCTTCGGTTCTGTTCGCTTAACCGAGGTCTGAAACCGAATTACGCGATATTATTTCGGTTCCTGAGAACTGGGAACCGAACTAGGAACCGAAATTTTCGGTTTCGGTTAATTCGGTTTCGGTTCCGGTTATTTCGGTCGGTTCTCGGTTCTCGGTTATTTTTGCCCAGACCAGAGTCAATGGACAAGTACAAAAAACTCTATATAATCTTTAAATATTGAGGTTGGTCTGGTCTCCTTCATCACATGGCCTATAAAATCAGATAGTTTACAACTATCTAAAACCATTTACTCTAACCTCAGAACTTAATTGAATGCACTCGCATTCGCTTAATCCGCATGTAGATTGAGATGAATACAAGTACATCTAGACAAGATCTAATAATTTCGATAGGTGTTTTTTTTATCTCATTGGCACAACTACTATCAGTGTAGTATATTTGAAGAACAATGTTAGTCATTGAACTATATAACTACTATAGAAATGTGGCTGGCTTCCGTGACTTGCTTGCATGCACCAGCATCCTCTAAGTTTTCATCTGCATGCAAGCATCATGATTGGCTATATGCGCTAGCTGGTTAGTTTCTCTTTGCATGCATGAATAGAGATTGGTTGCAGTAATTAAGCATGCGCCAGACACTTGCTTCGGGACTAGTTCACGCCTTACATATCAGCAAAAGTGTGAAATCTGCGCACGCACTCCCTCTGTCCTAAAATAGAAGTCATTCTCACTTCCTGACAAGTCAAGCACTTATAACTTTAACCAAAAATAAATAAAAAATATTAATATATATAATACATAATTAATACCATTAGATAGACATATACTTTCATAATAAACTTATTTAAAAATATAAATATTACACGTATTTATACAAACCTAGTCAAAATTGACAAAATTGACCTGCAACAGCTTACTGCAGTCAATTCTCAATAAGCCCGGTTGATGCCTCCATAATTATTATTTAGGTGCTGTTTGGAAGTTTGGTACTTGGTCCAAAACATTTGTAAATTACAGGCTTGATAATTTTTCCAGACCAAACCAAAATTAATTGTTTGGGAGACCAGTGAGCACAATAATTTTACAGGCGGATTAGACCAAAACCAGTGTAAAATAAAACATTCCTCCTCACATCTTGGAAAACAAAATGATGGTTGTCAGGCGTAGGTCGCCTCTGAGCTCGCCACCTCCCTTCTCCGTCTTCTCCCGTAGCCCCGTCCCCAGCACACCTCGGATCCCGACAAGTCGCCCCCAGCACACCGCGATCCAGGTACATCGTCCTCAGCACGAGTTCTCCGCCAGATCCCAGCCCTCCATATTGTGTCTCCATGGCCCACGAGCCCAAAGGACAGACCGACCGATGGCCCGTCGTCGCCGTCAACCTTGTCCTGTCCGCGCCACCGCCCCCGCCGCGGCCACCGCCAAAGAAGCAGACACCATGGTCCGCAGCTTGTCTCGGATCATGGACGGGGACGATGACGAGGAGGCTTCCGCGGAGGTGTTGATTGATCTCGCCGGTTCCTGACCGAACGAAGGAAACTTGACTGCTGATGCTTGTAATGCAGTGCAGCGGCCGGTGGTTGCTGTGGCGGCCGATGGTTCCGAGCAGAACGAACGAAGGAACAATGGCATGACGTGCCTGCTGCGGCGGCCGGTGGTTGCTGTGGCGGTTCCGGTGCAGTTTTTGTCAGCAACACTGCGTACCGGAAGTTGGAGTGGTAGGTTTGCGTCACGGCCATGGACATAGAGACGGTGGCCATCGTGCTTCTGGTTCTGCAAACAAGGGGCAGTGCGCGCTGGTCCTAGGGTGATTTGGAATGCAGCGGATGAAGCGTTGATCAAGCAGCCAAACGCCATTTTACAGGTGAAAACAAAATCGGTGGTATTCTTGTGCGCACAGAATTACAGGAGGAACCTATTTGCAAGCGTGAAAAGTTACGTAGCAGCCAAACAGGTAGGGTTGTTTTGCCAGTGTATGCCCGACTGCACACTCAAGCGTGAAAAGCAGGTAGGGTTGTTTTGCCAGTATGCCCGACTGCACACTCAAGCGTGAAAAGCTGGGCTCGCTCCACACGTCATGCATGACCCACGCTCAAAACCTTGCCTCTTGTTGATTTGTCGGGAATCCTACCATTCATTTCGCCGGTACATTGGACAGACACAAACCACACTAGAGCACCACCAAGTAACAACAGTTGTATATCATATAGCCAAGATCTACGAAAGATTCGATGAATTATCTTTGTCTGCATGCTGCTTGCATTGATCATCATTTCTGTTAACGATCGAATAAGTAACTTTGCCTGAGCTGACAGGGAGCTAATAATAATAGACCTGAATCGATTGCAAATAAACCAAAATAATTATCGAAATTATACAAAAATATTACACAAACAAAACAAAAGAATAGCCAGATTATTTCTATAAAAGCCAAATTAGAAAATTTTGAAAGAGGAACCAAATAAAACATACAAAAACTAAAAAAATCAAAAAAATATCAGATAGCTGTTCAAGTAATTATAATCATTCTCATTTACGAATAATCAATATGCACTAATTGAACACAAAATTTACACCCTAGCAGAAATAGTAAAATATAGTTTAATAAGATGTAATCTGTCCGTACTAAAGGAATAAATCTGCATGCATAGATCCATGCAGCGGCAAGTGGGCGACATGTGGTCCCGGTAGTTTTCATTGCGTCTAGAAAATTGATGTGGGTGTGAACCACGAGGGTGTGGAGCACGAGGTGGCCCAACGCATGCAACTGGAACTCCATCCTTCATGTTTCTGTCTTCATTCATTTCTGCGAAGCCTACCTTGGCATTCTTCCGCATTTTGATCTCTTCCGTCACTTTTTCTATTTGCAATCTCGTGGGGGATCTGGATCTAGGGTTGTGGGTAGTGCATACTTGCAGCTGCGGGATGGGATGGTTGGGTAGTACATCACTACCCCGTTGAACACAAACATGAAATATTGGGCACAACGATGGTTCTACATGCCATAGGGGTAACATTATGTGGCGTGCGACATTGATCAGATTCCCATGAGTAACGCTAGGTGGTCGGAGAGACCTAGTACCAGTGGAATGGAGCAGGTGAGGGAGCTCCTTATGCTAATTGACCGAAGGAGAGTAGATGGGGTTATAGTGGCAACGAACTTCACTTTTTGGCAATGTCAGCCCAGCAAGGAGAGGGCACACCCAGCATATGAATTCTAGTGGGATACTGATGGGAACCGAGAGGTGCCCGCGCCAATTGACCGAGAGGAAGTCAAGCGGCGGATTGGGGTTTTGTTCAACCTCACAGGGCGCCACATGGTTGACGACCAGCAGAGGTCCTTCAGTGTTGGGAACCTCCCACAAGAGGTAAGAGTCTTTGTATTAGTTTGGCCTAATTCCTTTTTGTTGCGATGTACTCATTCATGCTCTTGAAAATCCGTGGGCAGGACCGAGCAGCATACTTCTCAGTCGTGCCATCGATGGATTGGCCGAGGGTTGTTGATGCCCGGTCGAGTAGTCCCCAGCGTCGAGCCAGCTCGGAGGCTGGTAGGGATAGCTCGGATGACAACAACGACAAAGATGAAGGTGAGCGGACATCAGATGTCCGTGAGAAACTTCAGAGGAAGCGGCCCGCTAGCGAGGAGCCGTCCCCGAAGAGAAGGAATATGGTGGGATCATCCCATCGAGAAGAGCGGATGGTGAACATCAGCGCTCTCGTTCACCCCCAAAGACAGAAAATGGTGGTTTCAAGATCGTCGGATGATGATGGGTTGGCAGCACCACCATCTCCGAGGGATGCGACGCCACCATCGATCATTCTAGCTAGAGCGGAGACCCGCGAGATGCGACGGACGCGTCAAGGCATGGCCACGGCGGTGTTCAGGCGTCATCAGCGGCGACGACAAGTGTGGCGCTAATATCGACAGCCCCGAGATCATAGTTACACCCCCTATGGTAACAGCGTAGGCAGCCACCGCAGTCCCCGATACCATGCGGATGACTCTGGCAGTGGCGGTGGAGATGCCGAGCGGGTTGGGTGGTGGGCCAACGGGAAGCAGGTGGGGGCGCTGGCTCCGAGCTACGCAACTGGAGTTGTAGTTGTAAGTACCTTATTTACTTGCTATGTTGCTTCGGTACGGTAGTTTGCTTCTTTAACATATTGTTGCTTGTTGAAGTGCAATGGTAGTGACTCTCCCTGCTAACCCAGCACAGACAAGAGCAGATCCAGTTGCCCCTGCCTCAGAATAATCAATAGCTGCAGGGCCGACCGGCCCTACTACAGGAGAGCCCTCGACAACTAGACCGACGTCGCCTGACGGTGGGTTGCACGACGAGGGCAATCCTGGTGAGGATGAGATGTGGGGTGCAGCAGCGACGTCAAGTGGCCTTGCCGGAGCAAGTATGGAGCCCGCTGTAACAAAACCATCTAATTTATAAGAGCACAAGTACAATAGCAATCACCGAAGCGATCAAACCATCATACTTGAGCCCGTATAAACCCGGTAGTCCGATAAAATCACGAAAGATCTCAAACAAACCAACATGCAAACCAAGATCGTACATGATTCAACACAACTAGTCACATGTTACATCATAGTTCACAAAAAGTTCACAAGTTTCTCACGTACATCGGAGTTCACATAGTTATTACA